GGCTCTTCTTCCTGCTCTTCTCTCGCTCGACGTGTCGTACGCGTCTCAGCTCGCTCGCTCTCTTCTCCCTCCTCACTCTCCTTCTCTTCTCATCCTTCTCTCTTGTTCTCATTTATTTTTTTTTTATTTTTTAATTCTGCTTAACTCTTTTTTTATCTTATTTTTTTTTTTCTTTTTTTTTCTTTCTTTTCTGTTCTTATTTTTTTTTCTTTCTATATTGTTTTTTATACTTTTATTTTTCCCTTTTTCCCCTTTTATCTTCTCCCTCTTTCTTTTTTTATTTTATTTTAGTTTTTGTGTTTTTATTTTCTACTAATATTTCTTGTTTTTACGTTGTATTATTTTATTTGTTGTTTTTATATTTTTTATTTCTATATGTATTTTTATATAATTTTTATTGTGATTCATATTAATCTCATGTTGCTTTCTAGTTACTTTTCATATTATTTAATTGGTTTTTTAATTTTGTTTTGTTTTTGTTTTATGTTTTTTTTGTTTATATTTTTAATTTTATTCAGAGTTTATTTTTTAAGTTTTATTTTTTTTTTTTATAATTTATTTTGTTTATAGTTTAATTTATTTTTTTACTTAATAGTTCTTTTTGTGTTAGTTCGTGTTTCTCTTATTTTGTATTTTTGTTTTTTTAAATTGTTATTATGTTTTTTTTTTTTATTTTTTTTAGATATTTAATTTTCTATTTTATGCCATTTTATATGAAATAAGTATTTTTTTTATTTTCTATTTCATGATATTATTATTATTTTTTTGACTTTTTTTTTTTTGTTTTTATCTTTTCGTTATGTTATCTCTTTATTATTTTTGATTTGTTATTTTTTTTTTTTATTGTTCTTTTTTTTATCTAATTTTCTTTTTTATAAGTATTTGTTTATATTTTTTGGTTTTTCTTTTGTATTTTTTTTGTTATTGATTTTAGTTTTTTTATTTTTTTTTGATTTTATATTATTATTATATTTTTCTCTTTATTGTCTTTTTCAGGGTTAAGTATGTTCTATTTAATATTAATATTTATTATTGTTTTTTTTTTTTTCGTTTTTTTTATGTCTTTGTCGTTATTTATGTTATTATTTTTTTCCTTTAGTTTGTTATTTTATTTCTTTTAATTTTATTATAATATCTTTATCCCGTTTTATGTTTTAATTTTCTTCTTATTTCTTTTTTTATATAACTATTTATATTATATTTATAATACTTTTCGTTAAATCTTATCTATTTCCATTTTTTTAATTTCTTCTCAATTTCTTGTAGTTTTTTCTCTTTCTTTATTTTTTTCTCTTTATTCATCTCTCTTTATTTATTTTTTTTATTTTATATTTTTCATTTTTTATCTCACTGTGTGTTTTTCGTTTCTTGCTGTTTTAAAGGTGTTTTTATTTTATTTTTTTTCTTTTTTTCTCCGTTTTCTCTTTTCTACTATTTAGTTTTTGATATTATTTTTCTTTTTTGTTTTTTTCTTTATAGTGTCTATTTCTTTTTTTTTTTTTTTTATTGTATTGTTTTTTATTTAATTCCTGTTTATGCGTGTTTGGATGTTTATATAGTGCGCGTGCCGGCTGGCGGGCGGCTGTGCGTACGGCGCGCTGCTCGCGCTGGTCCTCCTTGCGCTCGCCGCCGCCGCGCTCGCCCTCGCCCTGGAGGTGCGCCGCGGCGCGCGCTGCTCCGACCTGACGCGCGACCTGGACGCCCTGCGGCGCGACATGGACGCGCTCCAGGGCCGCGCCGCCGACCACGACGCCCTGCGCCGCGACGTCGACGACCTCAAGCACCGCGTCATCCAGGAGGACATCTTCAGCAGGCTACGCGCCTTCGAGGACGAGGTGAGTGGGCGGACGATGTGAGAGCGCAAGCCAAATTTAATATTTGAACTGCTTTGTCACGAGAATTTGAATAATGAAGCGTTTTAAATGCCTGACAACGACAGGATTATAGAAAATTGTGTCCATTTGTTTAGCTAGAAAATCCAAGAAGTAATATGATTTACGACACTTCTTAAGTTCTCTTTCACAGTTCACCAACTTAGTTGTGGTCTGACTTGTAGACAGTTAACTCAAAACGCTGCAAACTGACATCAATTTCGTGCGATCAGTATCGTTTTCATTTTGTTTCTCATTGCGACGGTATTGTCAACAAATGATTCCATCCCGTGTTTCTTTTCGCGCTTGTCGTGATGAAGCGTCACGCGGCTCCACATTCGGGATGCATCGGGCAGCCAGCTACTGCTCCCGTAATCCCGAGCAGTAGATATAGTCGGCGAATATTCGCTCTTGCTGTATACAAACACACACACGCGGTGGAAAGCACCAAACGTTTGTCGATCAGCAAATTACCAGCTCCTCATTGACGCTACTCGGGATTCGGCAAGCTGTCGATCACTACTCGCCGAATGCGGAATGTGTGGAGCCGCCTTTATGTTGGCGCTTCGGGCGCTGGAACGATGGGTGAACGTTGACCATGACTCGGAACTGTAAATATTGCTCCTGGCAATCGCTCATTTCTACAGAATCAGTAGACAGTGGACACAATAATCAGTCCTACGTGATCCCACGTACACCATTGTCGATATCGTCTCTTACCCTGCTTACGATGTGTGGCTTAATTTGTGATGTATCCCTTTGATTGTAATATGTATTCTTAGATCAGCGCATGTTCGGTTATATGTTTTAAATGGGGTTAAAAGTATAAGTATTGATCATACTGACATTAAAATCAAACAACAAAAAAATTATGATGAACAATTTTTTTAAATGTTCAAATGTTCTCATTGAATTGTTTTTTTGTTTTTTTTATTCTCATATATCACAAAGATTCAATTTCTGTCGATACCATGTTAAACGCATTTGTCCGCTAACTAGAAATATTTGTTCTCAAGTGTATAAGAAGTAAAATCTTTAATGTTTCACAAAAACCAGGCATCTTCAATATTTTTGTAATGTCAACTTGCCTCATTATATTACGGAATATCAACTAATCGGTTCCATTGAGCTAAAGAAAATGGCTAGGCCGATAAAATAGTAGGTGCATGACGATACTCTCCCTTGCAAAGAACACACACACGGATGAGAACGTTAAATTCAAGCATTGGGCTTTGACACAGAATATTAAAATATATTATTCGGAATATGTTTCGACGAGAGGAGAGGGCAATGTAATTGGAATACCCGGGAGTGCAGAATTAAAAATCTGTTGTCAAATCCCTTCTCAATTTCATGAATTGGATACCGACGGAAAATGATGCGGAAACAATCACCCTTCATCCATCATGGCATTGTTACTCACATTCCGTTATTGGACATGACACCCTAATAAAACAACTTACACCAAGTAGGACCCGACTTGTCGTGCCCCGAATTCTCCTCCTTCGGGTGTGTTACTACGACGCTAAAAGGCGAACCCGTAAGACGCTACGGTACTCTCACTGTGGTGCAAAGTGGGATGCGCTCACTATGACTTAAGAGTGCATTGGCACGCATTTGTTACTGCGAAGGAGTAAACGCCAATTCAGAGGATCTAGACTTTCAGATTTCAGTGATGCAACATCATTCTGCCATTTTCCCTACTTAACCAGTCATATTAAATTCAGAGTATTGATGAAATTATCAATGTGTGAAACTTGCATTTTCAATATTTGATTGCGTTTAGACTTCGATTATCATGGCAGCGTAGACAATAGGTGAAAAGAAATGATGCAAACTTGCTCTTACTATTAAATTTCTGATTTACCATGAACACGAAACTTTCTTATGCTTCTACTTGCATTCTTTGTTATCGCTATCTTCCTCTATCTCGCCATTTTCCTATTTTTTTCTTATTTTTACCCTTTCAATACACTTAATCTTCTTGCACCTCAAGCCCTCTCTTCCTCCTGTCTTCTTCTTGATATCCTCTCTCCTCTTCACCTCTCCTCCTACTATCCTACAGTTAATTCTCGTACTCGTGCTAATCTCCATCCAGCTACGATTGCTGCTCCTCGTCGTCTTCTAAAAATAAGCTTTCTTGCTTAATTTTTTCTTTTACTTTACACCTCCCTCCCTTAAATTTTTCTCCTCCTCCTCTTTTACTCATCTTCCGCCATTTCCTTCTTCTCTCTTCTATTTCTGATTCGCTCCTCCATCTTTTTCATTTCTCCCCAATCATTCCATTTTCACTCTCCCCCACTTTTTCGTTATTCTACTTCTTTACCAATTTCCTCCTCATCTCCTTGGGCAACTCTGCTCTTCTCCTCCTCCCTCTTTTCTTTTCCTCTTTCGGTCCTCCTTTCCTTTCTTCTGCTTCTCCTTTTCCGTCACCTCATTTCCTCCATCTTCGTCGCTCGCATTTCTTTTCCATGCTCTCTTCCCCGACTCTCGTGGACGTCCTTCAATTCCTTCGTTTTTAGACGTTTGCTCTTTTGAACTGCCTTTCGGTGCAGAATTGAAAGTCGCTTGGAGATCAAAATGAGTCTGAAGTTTCAAATTTATGCAGGTTAATCCTAAAGAGTATTCGTTGTCTTCAGTAACTAATTCGACAAGTGTATCAGCCTCGGTAATGCATTTGGTCGCTTGCGTAGGTCCGTAGCCTGCCGATTCCAGTTTGCGACTGCCACCAGTGCCTTTGCTGATGGAAGTTTGAGCGAGGCTCGGCGTTTACTAACTATGAAAAAGTATAAAACAGCGGGAGTTGGCAGTTCCTGACGATGCTCGGAGCTCGTGTTGGCAGCGTCTGTGAGAATGTCTGTACACGATTTGCTTTCAGAACATGGACTTACAAAGAATCAGAAAGAGAAGACATCAGAAAACGACGCCAAACTTCAAAAAGATTTCCGATCCCGATGTCACTATCGAAGCGACAATAATATTATTTTGAACATGTATACTCGTACAATTAATATCTATTATTAACACTGTGGTATGTACGTTTTTTATATTGTGATAAGCGCTTAATAAAACTTATTAGCGGCAAAGTTACAACTTGATAAAATTACAAATTTTTGAAATGCTTATGTGAAATTTCAGTTCAGTAAAACATGAAAAGAGTAATTTTCACAAAATAACGGAAAGCTGACACTAGTTCCAACATTGCGACGTCAGTATTCTGCGCAGTGAGAAAAAATAAAGTGAAAGACCGATATTATTTTCGTGTCAAATTTTTCCTTAATTTCAATCCGCTGACGCAAGAGAAGCGAATTGAGGTAACTCTCAGTGACTCACCTCCTACGTGACTGTTCATAGAGATGCAGAGCTGCCATTAATAGTGCGAAGAAACATCAGGGAAGAAGTAAATATAAATAAGGGTAGTAATTAAATACAAGAACAGTCAATCTCCCGTTTACATTTGCATCATTTCCCAGCTCGAGAAACAAACATGTTACTACGTTGGTTCTGGAAACGAATACTGATGCATAAGTAATGTGATGACTTCCGTTTCTGGATGCAAAACAGCTAAGCACTGGAAATTCTTCGGGGCTCCGAGGAACGTTAGAAAACATAAACTTGTATTGGTATGTTTAATACAAAATTTTCCACATGCGTGCATTTTTTTCTTTAAATCTTGACAGTTTCTTCCTCCAACAGTGTATTAGAAGGCTTGATTCAGGATTGTATGGATTATGGAAGAGTAGAAGAAATAATTTTATTTTACATTTTTTAAGTTAATTAATGTACTAATAATTCAATGTACCGCAAAATCTGTTTCCCCGCTTGTTTTGTTTTGAATTGACAACCCATTAAACACTACTTTATATTTTGAACTTGTTAATGCTACAAATCCATCCCTTGCTATTATTTAAGTCGAGTTTGGTAGTCCAAAGCAATTAGTTTCGACTCTGACAAACGTCCGAGACCGAAATGACGATTAAACGGGAGGGCTTTGCGTTCCATACTGTCTCTGTTCCGACTGGAGAAGAACACAACATCCCTCACTTAGTGGTCCCGATGGCTCCTCCGGCGCGCCGCCCTGCGCGGTTGCTACGCACCCGGGCGTGCGCGGGGCGCGTGCGCGTTGGCTCTGCTCTTCCGGCGCAGCGGGCGCGGGCGCGGGCGCGGGCGGCATGCGTCACACGCGCGGCGGGGCCGCGTGGGCGGAGGGCGGCTGACCTCGCGCCGCGTCCAGTGCTCCCGCCCCGCGCGCGCACGCCTGCTATACTCCTGCGAATCGCGCTGTCGTTTGGAATGTCGCTTTAGCTCCGCTACGAACGTAAAATTATGCTTCCTGTTGTGAACCTCGTTCCAGTCTCACAGTCAACACTATCGTCGCATTTATTCCTCATTCCTTTCAAGCATTATCTTGCCGTTGTTCATTTTATTCCAGCCTCAGATATGTAGTGTAGAGAAAATTAGTGCAATGCTACAAAAAATGCACATCGATATTTTGACGAAAATATAAGTTTTGTTAGTCCCTGAAACCAATTTGTTTATTGTCCCAAAACGTCTCTAGCAGTCCGCCTGTGTGAACAACACTAGTCCCTAAACAGTCCACAGAATTTTCCCCAGAATGAATATTCCCCGAAATTTCCGGAATTAGAAATGTACCAAATTTTATTTTAAATTTAGCTCTTCTGACATTTATAATTTTTTTGCACCAATGGTAAACATTTATATCTATTTTACCCAAATAGAAAGATTGTGTATTTTTAAAAGTGGTAGAATCCAATTTTAATTAAAACTGAACTCGCTAAACTGATAAAATTTAAAGTATTTATGAAATCTGTCCTTAATCTTTATTATTGAAGCCAGATATTTCTTTCTTACTGTAATCTAGGGTTCAATATTAAACCTGTCAATCGTTTTACGTTCTATTTTTTTTAAATAGTAATCGTTTTAGCGTAGCTCTAAATCAAATTGTGACAACTATTCACAAATACATAACGTTTTTCTCAAAAACAACTCCAATTTTTTTATTCAAACATTTAATAAACAGGTATCATGTTAAAATATACAAAGATAGATCACAATATTCTAAATTCTATTGCACAAGTGACCGTTTCATTCAAACTTACATATTTTTCAAGCAATTAAAGATGTTTTTGTGGATGAGTCTGCGATTGTGGCCCCCGACCATTAAACGCTCGCGGCATTAGCCTATTTTCATCGGAAATCTACGCGCAACTGTTCTAATTCCAACCCGGGAAACTAATTTTGCATAAGGCGAATTCTAACGGAGTTGTATTGTGTGATCTCGAGAAAAGTTTTCACGGATTAAGCTAGTTCTATAATATTTTGTAATCTTAAACATAATTTAGAAGGTATGCGCTGTAATAATGCCACTTGTTTTCGTTTCGATTATCCTTCTGGAATCATTATTTTGATACTGCAAAAATCTATTTTCTTGCTTTGAATATATATGCATTCAGTTTCTTATTTTCCATGTTTAACTTTATTTTCAGTTTGCAGTTCTTTCTATCTGAACCTCTTGCTTCTATGGAATTTAATCATATTATTCATTCACTCTGTATTTTAATCACTGTATCTTCATTCTTTATTCCGCCTTCTCTTCATGAGCTCCTAATCATGCTACTTCGCCTTTCTGTCTGATCACTCTTCATTTTTGTAACAACTTGTAACCTGAATGTATATATCCTATAGTTCCCCATTACTTTAACTGAACGGATAATCTGAAAATTAAAGCTTCTTCTTTCATCGTCATATTATTTTATCTCCTGAGTTTCATGCAACTTTTTAGTCGCCCGCGCCTTGCCGTTGCCGCCCCTGGCGGGTGCACCCACGCACTGGCAACGAGCGCGGAGGCGACGGATATGAAAGGCCGCTGGAAAGCGAAGCCACGTTGTCATTGGCTGCCGCTGCGGGCGACTGTTTGCTCGGATTGTGTTCCTCGCGTCCTTCGGGGACGGTGATGAGGTTCACCGAGGAATGGATAGCGCGGAGGAGCCCTCGAGAATATCGCATGAATCAAAAGAGGATGAATGGAGAGGAGGCCGTCGAGGCCAAGGGCCTGTTAGAAGGCGGAGGAGAGCGGTCCGAGCAGTGGGGTACTCTTCTAAGAACAATCACGAAGTTTGGGATCTGAAACATACTAGTAAGTTAAGTACTCTTCTAGTCTAATGATGAAACGTTCTATCTTCAGACTCAAGAGTGCAAGAAAAGTTGCTCAATTTTTTGCTTTAAATTTTATTAAAGCCTGTATAATTAAATATAATGATCCGAAAACAATCTCGCGAGGAGTAATTTACCTTGTGCGAAGTTTCTTACCGAACGCACCATACTTAACAACTTGCAAATTATGGCTCTCTTCTTGCTTTTCCAGCAACTTTCTTGCCAGTGTTAAATTATTAATTTCCTACATTCATCACACAAAGTGTGCTTATTGCCTACAAAATCTAAGAAACAGCAGGGAGTAAAACGTCTTAACGTAGCCAAAGCGAGCACATGTTAAGGAGGTTGTGTACGCTCGCAATGATGTGAAGTACGATATTTACCTATAGAGAAGAGGAACGGGTTTCTGATCGTTCCCAATACATAAGAGCTTTTCCTGCAAATTATTTAAGTTATTGAGATGTAGCAAGAACACAGTTATTCATATCTCTCAAAATAATTCATTAAAAAGTCAGTGTTAAGCTATAGCCCGCTAGTAGTAAGCATAACCTGCTCGTTATGCATACTAGCGGGCTAAGGTTTAGCAATGTAGGCTTTGCACGTCTTTGAAATTACATAAAATTTATGCATAGAATGTAGTACATGTTTCTTAAAAATACATATAAGCAAATTAAAATAATGCATTTTACTTAACGTTAATAACGTGTACAATTCGGAAATAACACTATGGGAATTGTCCATACCAAACATGCTGTACTGTGCCTCTTCGACAATTCTAATTTTATAAGTTTCCTTTTCTAGGAAATAGTCACTTTCATTTAGGTTATTCACATCTGAAATTAGAAGTAGTTAAATTTCTTCTGACAATAATTATTTTAAGATTGTAAACTCACTACATCTTCCCAACATTGATCCTCATTGGACTGAATAGATAAGCTTTTAGTTAATTGATTCAATACAGTAAGTTCATATACAACGTTTTTCAAACTGTCGAAACCATATTGATTTTCTGAGCGGGTATAAATGATCCCTTTGGCATATTCGTTCGCGGGGCATTCAATTTGTATCTAACCTACTTCCAAGTCTGCAACTGACCTTGTCGTGTTTCCTCTGCTTCTTCCTTGGATCGAAATCGGATACTTTATGCAAAGGATGGAATGCAAACGTCAAGGCGAAATTATTAAACGTTAGTCACAAATAACTCGATGAGTCAGAATTTGAGAAGTTTTTAAAACAAAGCATCCAACTTAAAATAGTAATGTAAAGCTGAATACTTCTTGATGTTATCGGAACAAGTAGACTAAAGAGGTGACAGAAATAGAAGCCCATAAAAGGATCGCACTTCTGCGAGGAACGACTTCCATATTGGGAGTACCGGTTTACTGTGGTCGTTTACGTACGCCCTCTCAGAAACCTGCAGCAAAAGTTTGTTGAAGCGGCATTCGCGAGATTGGAAGCATCGGAGTCTTTATTGGCTGAAAGCTGTGTCAAGGTATTCGTGTCATTAATATTCTGTTGCAACGGAAAATAATGAAATTTTCTCTAATTTTCTTTTTCCAAACTCATTATGCTCTTCTATACTATTTTATACGTTCTATATACGCTATGTTCCATACTATTACTCTATACTCCGTATTAAATACAATTTTGAAAGCCGCATTACTACTAAAATTTTAATGGCCCCAAAAATTTAAAAAATTAAAATAACTGAATTAATCGAATCAAACGTGTAGCAACATTAATATTGCATTATAGTAGCATGATGCATCAAAAGTGGCTGTTCTGAATTTTCGTTCATTTTCCGCAATTTTCTTGACGTTTTTAAAGTTAAACATGCTGATTTGTGCTATTTCGATAATAGTTTGAAAAGAGGTTTGATAAAATGGCAGAAAAAATGATGTAAATTTAATTTTAGTATAATAGACTAATAGTAAAGCGTAGACATTTTTGTAGTATTGTAGAGAAATACATTCACGATTAACAAGAAGGAACTTTTTTGGTTGGAGTGTATTCAATGGAACGCACTTGGAAATGCTATTTGAACATTAGAAACTTTTGACTGTCACCCCATATCGAATGCATTGCTTTGAACAAATTTCATTGTCATTTAATTCTTAGCGTGTTGTTTTTGATACCGATGCGATAGTATTGAAAATCTGTAAGTTTTGTAAGTTTCCACTAGTGAAATGCTCCTGTGACTACGCAACAATATATTCGAGAACAAAGGAAAAACTTGTGTTTGGTTTACCGTTTGGAATAATCCTTTCTCATTGCAGTTTTCGAGGGGAACTTAGTCACTGGTGATAACGCAGTGGCATCCTGTGACGAATCAGGCCTGCGAAGGGGTGGGGTGGGGGTGGGGGGCAAATAAGTCTTTCTGCCCTTGAGCGTCCTCTCTATTTCGGTGACATCACGAAACTGGAAGCAGGGGTCTCGCAAGGCGGTTGCGGCGAGGCTTCCCGTGCGCGAAAAGGGGGAAGAGGCGGCGCGCGGAAGCGGGCTCCCTTCTTGGGCGAAGATCGTTTGAGATCGCGGGCAACTGCTGAGTCGTCATATGGCGAGAGCCTGCGCCGACCTCCCATAGGATAGCGGGGTGTCTCCCACCCGCAGAGCACCGCCCCTGCGCCTGGCCGGCGATGCCGCGCCAATTTTGTCTGCAAACTTTTTAAATGGGTAAAGCAGTATGTACTGAATTATGTAGAATGCCATTTTCGTTAAAACTTTTCAATTTTACAAGAATTTGACCTTATTTTCGAATGTCTACCTCAATATTTATTCTACAAATGTAAACTGTTATTTAATACATTTGTAGAGGCAAAAGCATCAAATTATCTCTAGTTGGAGGAAAAGGTGATAAATGTTGCAGAAGCTTGAGAAGAAGTTGTTGCAATGATAAAAGTTAAATAAGGTTCATAATGAATAATACAATTGTAACGAAGCACAAATAGTAACATTTAAATTAATTGTTGAACCATGAAAGGAGCGACACTGCAGATACCCTTTCACTCCTGACCAAAGGGCACGTGACCGAAGCGCGCTCCTCTCAAGATCAACGAAGAGATGACATCATGCTGTCTAGCTACATCGGCTATGGAAACAAATATCCTTTAAGTCGATGCAATGAAATTATTTTCGCTTTGTCTGCGAACAAGCTTTAACGAAACTCGTTGCACACGTGTAGGGATTCCTAGATGTTGAAAAACTATCCGAATCCTGATTAGGAGTGTGGGAAAATGAGAATCAACGGCGTATTTTAGGGTTCGGCTTCGAAAATTGAGATCCTATCAATGGAATACATATTTGTGTTTCTTGTACAAGGAATAACCTGTACTAATTCCAAAATAATCAATATGATAACTATTTTGTTTTTTAAATTTTGTTTTGATGTATTTGAAATTGTATGTTGTGATGTAAATAATAAGAAGAACTACTGATCCAAAATGCGAATCTTGGCGATTTAGATACCAAAGTAAATTTTGAAATTTGCTAGATCAACCTAGTTTTTACGTTTCTATGTTAAACAGCGTACTCCTCAAATCCTTGAGATGACCTTGTTGATCAGGTCTAGAATTGTTCATTGTTCTTATTATTTTTCATGTTGTTTGTGCCAGTTAAATAATAATTATTAATTAATAAACACAAACGTGCAAACACGCGAATTTAATGCTAAGGGGTTTCTACACCAGCTTTGGAACAATGTTTAAACACGTCGATGGCGGTTTAAACGCATTGATGTATTATTATCATGTATATTTTACTATTGATTGATTAGTGATTGCTGGCGCGTTAACGGCTAAGGCCATTAATTTCGTAAGTGTAGTGCATGTGTTTGTTTGCGGGAGGTGGCAGTGATCTCCCGCTGAATGACGTGATCCAATCCCGACCTACCACTACTGCTTGCGGGGATTTTTCCAGCCAGGTGTCTCTCACCAGCGGGGCGCGACCCACACCCGGACAAGCCGTAAGTTCCCTCTCTCCGCATGCCTAGTAGTGTAGTGCATGTAAGTGTAAATGTGTGTACGTAAGGGGCCGAAGATAGCAGAAGGAAGAAGAAGGAAAGATATGGCGTGGTCCTTGGCCCTTTTGTTAAGGAACTGCTCCGGCATTCGCGTGGTGTTGATGGGAGAAACCACCGATCAGAGCAGCCTGCCGCACGGATTCCCTTTCGGGAATCGGCGTCTGAGTTCGCCGTTGCTGGCAAGCTAGTGTCTAAAATCGTGCCGCCGTCGGGGCTCGCTGAGCAGGGCGTTTCGGTGCGCGCTCGCCTCGGGCGGTGCGGCGAGTCGCGCGTCAATAAATCTTGGAATCTCCGCGGGGCGCTGCCGAGTGCGCAGACGAAGAGATTTACGGGCACCGAGTGCACGCGCGTCGGGCGAAGGCCGCTGCAGCGGAAGGCGCACCGCGAGCGCCCGCGCTGCTGGCCCGCTCGGCGCCCATTCGCGCAAATCACTGCGCAGTGGCGCTTACTGTCTCGAGAATTAAGTAGCCCAAGGTCACGCAACGCTAGGGCATTGAGATTTAGGTTGCTGGTTTTTTTCAAGTGTGGAGATTTGTTCTTTGTTTAGTTTTGGTCTCGTGCACTCAGTTTGGCGACTTAAAACCGTATTCATCCCTTTTTTAAAGGTAGCCCTTGTGTTCTGAGAAATATTAAGTATTATTTAATAACTGGAGAACGAAAAGTAATAAATTCAAAAGTTTTACGCAGTATTTCGGAAGTTATATATTCGCAATTCAAATTTAGATTTGTTTTTGGCATCTAGTATCCTCTACATCTTTAAATTATGAATAATCTAGACTTGCCGATAAATATTATATTCACTGAAGCATGTGCCGACCTAATGGCCGAAGTGGCTAAGATCGTGTACCGACTCAGCAGCTTCGGTCCGAAGGGTTGTGGGTTCCAGTCCCGCCTTGGTCGTGGTTGTTTGTCCCTTGT